CTTCAAGGTGGCTGTGGAAGTAACTCTTGGGTTTGCCTCGTTGCTTGTTTTCCACACTTAACCAGGAGTTGTCACCACTGAGGAATGCATGTTCCCCTCACTTTTTATATTTGCAAAAGCATATGCAGAGCACCAGTTCCCTTGTAGAAAGTTTATTTCTCCTCTCCTCAAGACTTTATGAGTGCTTATTTTCTGCTTTGAGGTTTCAGGGAAGTGTACCTGCCTCTGCGGGCCACATTCAAGACAGAAGTGTTCCTTCGGGCACCTTTCTGTCAGCTCAGCATGGCTACACCTAAGAATTGCCAGGAACCACGCAGCTGGCTGTGCTTGCTGTACGTTTGTGGAGTCCTTGCAGCACTGGAGGTAGAGCTCTCTGTAGATGGAAGGACAGCTCTGAGTTTCGGTGTGCTGGTGTAAGACCAAAGTGGCTCCACAAGTATCAACACTTGTGATTTCTTTTCCTTACTGTGAGGTTCCATTGTGCTGAGTGTGGGGCATATCTCATCCCAGAGAAGTCAGTACATAGGTAGCTCAGGGAACACAGAAGAGAAAAAGGATTGCTAGTCTCTGGCATTGGATTGGGTCATTCCATTGAATCACATCAATGGCCTAATCTTGGGATCATTCAATATCCTAAGAGAACAGGATTGTAGAAGGACTGACATGCTTACACATGCTTTATATCAATTGATGAAGTCTTGTATGAATGCTAAGCATTCATTTTCTTAACAAGGAGGTTTACTTTTGAATTTGCTGGGAGACAAAAAAATAAACCAAGATTTTCCAATAATTAATTTGTTGTATTCTGAAAGATTAAAAAATCTTGATCTTATAACGACTTCTTCCTGTTTACACCTGTAATTCTAAAAGGTCCTAAACCCACTTCTGGTTGTAATTTACATTAGGTATAAATGGAGCAGTACTTCCAGTGACTCATGGAGTGTATTTTGGTAAATTATTAAGACATAGCATAAGTTATATTGTAGAGAAACTTGAAAGGAGGGAAATTCATGACATGTGAATTTTCTTCAGAAAAAATGCTGACTAACTTTAATCCAAAATCATGGCTACTTAGATGCTTCCTTATTTAAAACAAAATCAACATAACCTTTCAGAAGGGTTGTGTGTTGATTATCAAGTAATTTAAGGTTGCAATATTTTGATTCTTTTTCCAAAGGATTGTAGTAGCATCATCTCTGAGTCTGGTATTCATTAGTCTGAAGAGGAAAGCATACAGGTTAGATTTCCTTATCTGAATAGCCTTGAAGAAATAATTTTATCAATTTTGACCGGAATTTTATCTAATTTGTAGCTCTTGTAATAAGGGGCCAAACTTTGAAGCTATTTGTATTCCTAAATAGAAGAATTATCTATTATCACCTAGGTGCTAATCCCTTTCCTGCCATAAATGAGAGTGAGACAGGTTCAGCATTTGAAAGCAAGATTGTTTCAGTCGGGTGCCCATCCAGCTTTTGATTTCTAACTTTGGGCTCTTAAATTAGCTGAAAATGTAAAGAAATGTGACTGCATTGAAGACAACGAAGCCATACACACTAGTGTATGCTAGTGACAAATTTGATTCGCGGGGAAAACTTAAACAGTGAAAAATTAAAAAACATCTCTTTAGTGCCAAACCAAAACAGACCGTAATTTTAGGGTTTTATGTCAGAAACATTGTTCTTTTAGATAAATCATTATAAATGTTTATTGATTTACAAATTGATAACAAATAGATGCTTCAGTGCAAATTCTCATATCTGTTCATAAGATCTCTTATTTTCTAGAGTGTGACAATTCTTGCTTCTGCTGATTCTAGAGCAGAGGAAAGGGAGAAAAATCAGGGCATGGTTTCCTATTCATAGATTTATCATACCAAAGGCAAAAGGGTACATTCTACTCTTAGCATTTAAAATTTAGCCCAAGACCTGTTATGCTCAAGTCTGGTGGGACTTTTAACAGACAAAGGGCCAAAACCTACACATGGCCAATTGCAGAACTGAGATGGGGTGCCAGATGTCCTGTCATATATTCTTTGCTGATACAGGGCCTAAGCTGAAGTTAGCTGAGATTTCATTAGTATTTACCCTTCCACTGCGGGGGATTCAAACACTCTTGAGGATTTTCTAAATTTTATTTTCTGCTTTTATCAATTTGTGTAATTTGTGGATCTTGATCTACATTTAGGAACCACGCATAATTATTCTAAGTAATTATTGGGAAGAAAAAAATATCTTTCCATCATCACTTTTCCACTAGCTCTATTTCCTCTCAATGTTCCATCCCTGTGAAATGGATCAGCTTTGCCGAGTGTCTTAAAATCACCTAATTCAAGCCTAAACCCTAATGTGAGATCTGAGGGTGTATGTTTTGAGACAGGAGTCATCCAACCTCAAAGAAAGCAAGCTAAGAATATTCCATTAAAAAAAAAAAAACAAAGCCCCACAACAAACTGTACTCCAGTTTATTTTCATTAAAAAACCAAACAAACAAACCAAACAAGCAAAAAAAAAAAAAACAACCTTGTAGTTTAGCTCCTAATTTAAGAAATCAGGAAATGGGACTTCTCCATTGGGAAGTGTTTTCCAACTGAGTTCTGCTTGATGACAGTGAGAGGCAGGAAGTACAGCTGACAAGTGTGTGGCTTAAGTTGCAGAAATACTGAGTGTAAGTCTTGTCAAGACAAAGGCAGGTAAATTCAGGAATGCAAAACTAGAAGAAACTTTCTTCTTTGCACCTCCTCCCCTTGGCACTCCCAGTCCTGCTGAAGCCCCAGGAACAGGTGCAGTTGGAATAAAGTGCCCTTCCAGAGTGTGACCCCTTTCTTGTGGGTATATTCTTGAAGTGGTTGTTTTGGTTGGTTAGGGTTCACTGTACTCTGGAAAAATGTGAAGTAATTAACTGATTAATAGTAGCTAGGTGACCCTAGAAGGCAGTAGTAAAATGCATTCCCTTTTTTTTTCTTCCTTTGTGTTCAGTCATACTTGCAGGAGAAGTAAGGCACTTGTACCTAACCACCTGCCATAAATTCGCCATGCTTTCAGTAATTGAGCAGGCTATAATTATAGGGTTTTCCCTCCTGCTAGAGAAGCTGCTTTTCCCACTGACTACTTTAATAAAAATGGTCCTATTGAAAGCTCTTCAGTCCCATAGGAACTGACTCAAATTGTTAAGTGGAAGGTGATTTTTTGCATTTTGCATAGCTGTAGTAATTTCTGAGGACTATATATAGATGTTAAACAAATTGCTTGTCTGGAATTAAAGTTTAGGTGCAGAATAAAGCAAGACAGAGCATTATTGGACATTAAGCAGTGTTACGGGACAGGTGCAACAGCCGGAATGCTCTGTAAGAATACCCAATGTTTTTTGCAAATTGCGTGGACTATAATCTGTTCAGCTTCCTATCCATCTGCAGCCCTGCAGCCTACACACTCTCTTTTTGCAATTCTAGCATGGGCCTGGTGAAGAAAGACAAGATTTGTAAGTTGGAAGGTGGGGGCAGCAATATATTGTATCTGAGATGTACTGTTGACATTCAGAAGCAAGGGACTAGACAATACGATTTATGAAATTATTAAATACAATAATAGCTGTTACTTTCCCACTGCAAATTTTGGAGAGCAGGTTGAAGATCTTGTTTTCAGAAAAGAATAATCATGGAAATTGGGCTAAAAAAGGTTAGGATAAAATTGAACCCTTTCCCAGGAACTTGAACTACATCCTCCTCTCCTTCCATCCTTCAAGAAAATGCTTGTTTAATTCCAGGAAGCAGGTTTGACAGTGCAAGCATCTGAGTTTACAAGGAACAGGCAGCAAAGAACAGCTTCTCTGCTTGGTAGGATGTGGAGCCAGCTGCAGCAGGTGAAGATGTGACCTGACATTCCATGGATGAACAAAGAGTGTGTAGGCTCTTTGCCCCCTCCCCACCTGAGGCTACCTCAGCTGCCCATGCCATACTTCAAGGTGGGGACCAAGTTGTGGTGGGACTACCTGCTCCAGCAGCACATCTGTTATCCAAGGAGCCACCAGCTGTCTGTAGCCAGCCCTCAAGCCTTGGGACCTGCAGGGTCCCCTTCTGATTGAGAACCTGAGTTTTGTTTCTACCCCACTAACTCTCCACACACTTCTCCCTGGTGCTTGTGGTCACTGGTCGCTGGCTCCTCGGAAGATGGTGTGTCGCAAGCAGAGGGCAGGAGCTTCCTGGTATCGCTTACCATGCTGTGGAGCCAGCCATCTGTCAGCAAAACAGGAAGGCACGGGTTCCTTCTCCCTCCTGGGCTTGTTTCACTATTTTTGGGAGCTTACTTCTGCCCCGCGCAGCGCCAGGCTGGTGCGATCTGAGGCAAGGGCTCCCAGGCGAGAGAGGGGCCAAAGCCTGGAGCTGCTGCTCTGCCCATCTGCTGTGGCTGGAGGTGTATTCATTATTAATGGAGGTAGTGGCTGTTGCTGCTCAGATATGCAGCCCTGCCTGGGTAAATGAGACATTCTTCAGCAAATTGCTTCGGTTTTTGATTGCTGATTGTACGTGTGTCACCAAGCTGACTCAAGGTTCATCGATGCATGCTCAGTAAATTAGAAAGAACATAACTATGGATCAACCAAGAGAATGAATTCTGTGCCTACAATGACCCAGGGCCATTTAATTTTCTGCTTAATTTTGTTGCAGTCAGTTTGCATTTTGGGTTATTATGCAGTAGGAAATTAACAATAAATAACAAATTTGGTCCTCCTGTGCTTGTAATGATATTTTTATAAATCTTTGTAATGCTGTTTTTCAAAGGATCAAGGTCTGCGCCAGTCTGATACTCCAGCAAGTATGCAGGGACGAAATAAAGAGAAAAATACATTATTCTTCCCAGATAATCTTTTAGTTAAATAGCAAAGGGGTTTTTTTCCTTTCCCCTTCTTTCTCCTTCTATGTGTGTGAGGTGTTTTTTTTCTTTTTCTGTGTGTGTATGTGTGTGTTATTTTACATTAACATAAGGCTTTTCCTCTCTTCTCAGATAACTCAAGGAAAATGGAAACAGATGAGGCTCAAGATATGTCCCAAGTTTCAGGTGAGGTCGTTACTTCTACAAAGAAAACACTAAATTCCTGCTCATCTTTCTACCACAATTCAATGTTTTTCTCGTCAATATAATTGCTTTGGGTCTTTTTTAAAACCAAAGTGGGAATTGAGATATAATTAATGATATCACTTGATATCAAGCCCAGTGGTGCATGGATTTTTTAAAAGGGACTGTGTAAATAAAAAAGTCAAGGGAATATATAAGCATTGATGTAATTTTGCATTAAACCTGTGGTAGTGTATCCCTAAAGCATGGTCAGGTGCACGTTTACACCATTTCTTTTGGGATCAAAATTCTGATTGTTACAAAATAAATATAGAACAAACTAAATTTACCAGGTGGGAGGGGGAAAATACAAATGAAAAACAAACTGTATTTACCATACAGGGTTATTTGACTTTTTTCCAAAGCATTCAGTTTTACTTATACGTGTTTAAAAACAGAAAGAAAAAAAAAAGAAGACAAAAGAACAAGAAGAAAAAAAGAAAATGAGAACTGATTGGCATAAGACTTTATGCTTGTAATTGTTTTTGTTCAAGATGATATTTTAAAATATGTTTAAATGGCAGAGAATTTTGGTATCTAAAACTTGCTCCATAGTCACTTGAATACAATTTTGCAGTCTTACCCCATATTGATATTCCTTGGGGGTATTCTTAACTTCCTTGGAAATTGATTCCTTAAAAAATTGGCATAGCAAAATAATACATATTCATATTGTTGTGCCTCCGCAGCTGAAAAAGGCCAAGTTACTGTCTTTCCCAGTTTCCCTAAAATGTTGGCAGCTGCAACAGTAATGGCTTTCAGTTTTCACTTTTAGTGTTCTGCCTGGAACACGGCAGCCCCATCACTGAGCCCACTCACAGCAGACACCTGGGCGTGCAGCTCTTGCTTCAGAGGCAGCTCTTGGGCGCTGCTGCCTCAGGACCTCAGGGGCCCAGCTGTAGGAGGCAGCTGGTAAAGGTCTGGGCATAGTGTAGGTGACTATGTCACTGGCTTTTTCTGAAAAATATGAATGCAGTTTTCTTTCCCTCTCTCTTTTGTTATTTTTCTGCTTCCTTCCTAATAGTTTTTGAAAAGTTTTGTCAAAAATTGGAGCCCAGAACTTTCAATGTCATCTGAGAAATAAAAATCAAACACATGTTCTGTCTGAAAGAGCAACAGTATAATAATCTTTCATGCCAACAGAAGATTACCAGTTATGTTTATTATAGGGAAGTCATTTCTAGTTAGCCCTGTGGAGACATGTTGCGCTCGCTCCTGAGGTAACAAATTTGGAATTGTAACTGGATAAACTTACATATCACTGCTTTGTTGCAGGTTGAACCAATTTGTAAATGAAATAAAATCTGTCTTATGCAGTTCCTGGAGCATTTGTGGCCTTAGCAGAAAAAGTAGTGGAGTTTAGTTGTTTATTCACTTTGGATCTGCCTGTAGCGATGAGAGGCACCATGATTTGAATCCAGCTCCTCTGCCTGCTGCAGAAACCCTTCCCTGCTTGCACGAGCTCTTTTTGGGGAGGAGCGCTGACCTCCTCTTCCTCTGCAGCAGCACAGGCTACCCTGGATACCCCCACCTAACTGTTGTGGTATTCTTTACAACGGTGCGAATTTGAGTTTCACACCTGCTACTTCTTACTAGAGCATTGCTTGCTTTTCTTTTGACATGAAGAGTAGCAGCAGGGGAGATGCTGCCTTGAGTCAAGGATTAGATTGGTAGAGCAAACACTTTGCATTCCTTGTGGCCTGCCTCTCCCCTTCACAGGGAAATCTTACAAGAACCTTTGCCATTTTGAATGCTTGTATATATGTAAATATATACATAATAAATGTATATCTATAATTTGTAGTTCTCAAAGTTTTTGTAGTTGAACCACTGTAGTATTTTGCTCTGCCTTTTAGCTTTTCTAGCATATCATGCAATAGTACTATTCTTCAATGAGAGAGGGTTTTCTTGAAAAAGAAAGTTACCTTTGATAAGAGGGAGACTTACACAAACTGATTAAATTGTACTTTGAACTCTCCTGCCATTTCTGTCACTGAGCATCTGGTACTTTCTGTGAGTAAAGGCTGGGTTGTTAGCTGGATTTATGGCCAAAGAAAGAACTTCCTAATTTACTTTCATTTATGGTAAGAGATATTTGGGAACTCACCTTCTGGAAATGAGAGTTTGTCAGATTAGGTTCCACAGATACTGCCTCTTCATAAGCTCTTACTAGACCTCAAAAGTAGAGGATCTGAAGGTACAGGGATGTTATCTACTTCTTTCTTATAGGTTGGTGAATACAGAAAGGAATTTTCCCCTTGTATATTCTCCTTGCTTCTGGGATGCTTCCTAGCATGATGAGAGAGCTCTGCTATATATTGGGAACCAGTTAAACAATTGCACAGTTTCAGGAGTGTAAGATTGTCCTGACAACTGTAAAACACTTATTAATGAGTTAATACTCATAAACCTGTTTTATGAGTATTGCTCATCAGGTATATCTGGCTCTGTGGGCCTCTGGAATTAGGGGGCTTCAGGAGCACACTTGGTTGGGTTTTTTAAAAATATAAGTTAAAAAATAAATTTGGTTTGGTGGATTTCTTCAGGACTTTTTGTTTTGCTTTTCAACCCAGAAATAAAGAAGGTCTCTAGAAACAGTTGCCCCAGCTCAAATGTGGTGTTTTGCAGCCATGTGCTCTATGCAGCTGCAGCTGACTCAGGTGTGGCAGCGACCAGCCAGGCCAGGAGAGTGTAAAACTAATGTGAGTGAGCCAAACCCTGCATGCACACAGGCATTCCCACCTCGGGGAATCCAGGCATGGCTGACTCCTAGAGGAACTGAAATACTGTGTGACTAGCACACAGTTCACACTTTTTATTTTTCTCCTGAAAGTGATATTTCATGAGACAAGCAGTTGCAGTTCTGAAATGAGGAGAGAGCTGACATACATTTAACCAAATGGTATCCGGCACCCATACAAGAGAGTCAGAAAACACAGATAATATCTCACTTAACAAGCAGTATTTTTCCTGCCTTTTTTTCTTTTTTTTTTCTCTCTTTTTTTTTTTTTCAGCTTTAGGGTCTAACAGTTAAGGAAGATGAAAAAACGGTACAAATGTTTCCACATCTAACATTAAGAGATCTCCTAGAACTAATCAGGCTGTGCTGCACTCTGCAAAAGCAGGAAGAAGAAACCCTCAGTATTAAATACACACACACACACAACATTAGTTTTTCAAAGGAGAGGGAATGAGATTTCTATAATACATCCTGCCCTGGCTTTCTTTTCAACAATTGTAGCACCAGCAGCACCATTCTGGCATGAACTGAATCACTCTCAGATCTGGATGCACATGTTAAAGAAACATGTAAAGGCTAAGGATGTTGACAGAAATAGAAGATACTAAAACCTTATTGAACTTTATTGCAGTTTTTTCCCCTCCCTCTCTTTCCTTATGGCTTCAGGTATATTTTTAGGGCAGAGATGAGGAAACTCAAATAGAGAGAAGTTGAGGGTCTTGCCAAGCATCACTGATAGGTTAGGCTCTTTGATTATTTTTATACAGAAATGGCAGTGTAGAAAATCTAAGACCATCTTACAGAGATGCAGATTGGAATAAAGGAATATTTGATACAGTGGTGCAGTGGTAATTCTTTCATTTGATACAGCCTGCAGTGGTAATTCTTTCTATTTTTGATTTAATCAAGAGCAACGCAAATCAGTGGCAGTACCAGAAACAGAACTTCAATTCCACAGCTAAGGTGGCTTTTTATAATAATTAATTTAGAAACCAAAAACTCACCCCCTAGACCCCAAGATTAGATTTTTTTTTATACTTTTCTTAAGCTACTTTGCTCTGTTATGTGACTTTTGAATAATTTTCCCCAGTACTGGCCACTAGGTATTGGGGTGGGGTTTAGCTCCTTTTTCTTTGACCAGTTGTTGTTCTGGGCACGTCTGTTTGAAATTAAAATGGAAAGCATTCCCACCTTCCCCCACTACCCTTCCATTTCTAAATTCAGTGGAAAAAGAATGTTGTTGAGATCGTGTATGTGTAAGATTGCCATAGTAATGAACTTACCATGGTGTAATGATTCAGATGTAGTTAAGGCATGAAATACAAATACGATGCTCTAGAACCAAGAGACAGAGCTCAATAAATGGATCTATTTAAAATCCACTATTTTTGTCCTGTCTTTTTGCATGTAGGGATTTCTCAATCATGAGTAACAAGAAGAAATCAAATTATATTAAATGGGTCATTAAAGACAAGTTTATAAGTATTCTTAACTGCAGTCTCCTGCAAAGAGGGAAACAGACCTGATCTCCAGCTTCTGCCCCACCAAGTCCAAGAGGCAAGCCTGATTCATACCACCTGGGCAAACTGCTATTAATTTAACAAGTAGAAGACTGATACCCATTTAGTGAACCAAAGAGCTCACCACTGCAAATGTATTCTTCTGCTAACAGGTTTCTATTTCAAAAAAGACTGCTCTGACTTCAAATCCTGCCTAGACTACATATTGTAGGATGCCTAATAACACACTTATAAAGATATTATTTTGTTGTCTGTTTTCTAATGGTTTTGGTATTATGAGTTTATATTGGTTTGTAGTCAAAAATAGTTTTCAGCTTTTTAGGATAATTGTTCTTCTCAGTCTAGACTCAGTCAAAGCATCAACATCCATTGTTGTAGCTGGGAGTGCTGTTTCATCCTTGGAAGATGCAGGTAGCTTTGGATTACTGTTACTTTTTAATGAATTTTGTTAACTTATGTGTAATGTAAAGAGAGCTGCCAGGCTGTTGCTTGCCCTCCAATTAAACCTCTGGGTTTTTTTTGGTTTTCGTTTTGTGTGGGGCAAAATATGTTGAACAAACTGAAATATTTCTGCTGTCTCTCCTCGGTTATGCATTTTATCTGTAAGAGATGCCTCAACTTGGCAGGTTAGGACTTGCAATGGAAAGTTGCTGTCAGTTCTGTAAGTTCCCTACATCCCAGGAATCTGAAGAAATAATTTAATAAGGAGTTAAATTGTTAATGGCAAAAAAAAAATTAATTCACTTAGTTCCTGCTTTTATTTTCCTTTGCTGTAAAATTCATGCTCCCTTTTCTCCATTTATGCAATTTGCCTTTGCTCTTGCATTGATATCCAGTGGGTGTGATTTTGCCCATTTAAGCATACGCCACAGAAGCTGGGTATGAGAGAGACCTTATTAAATCATCTAGTTAATCCTCCTGCCAGTGCAGAACTGTTTCTTCAGCACCCTGGAGTCCTCTGGCTGCAGTTTGGGATGGTTCACCTGATGCAGCTCTCAAAACTCCTGCTCAGCAATTATTCTGCAGTTTCATAGGTGTGTCATTAAGAAATGCAGTCACATACTCATTTAATTCATTTAAACAAGTCTGTGCCAACAACTCAAACCAGCTAATTTGGAAGATGATTTAAAACTACCTATCATTTCTCCCCATCATGATCAATATAGATGGGAAAACACAATGCTTTGATCCATCCAGGAGGCAGGGAGGAAACCATTCACTTCATTCAGATCAAGTCCGTAACTGGCACTACTAAGCTTTGGTTTAGTTTTTCCATTTCTGGTAAGTGTTTAAGGTTTAATTGATGTTTTTGTTTTAATGAGGGAATCCTCGTTAGGAAAAAACCCACAAATTTGCTAAGGCTGTGTGCCATAAAATTACTGCCCTTACTGGTGTGCCAATTGCCACAGGATGTCAAACAGATTTCATCAATGTAATTTGGTAACATCTCCATTTTCGAGACAAGGGTCTTATGTGAACATTACTGCATTTGAATTCTGCTCTGGGTGTGTTCTGTTCCTTGCTATTAATGCAAAGGTCAGTCTTTTAGTAATAGTCAATGAAATTAATCCTTAGATAATTCCTTCAGTAGATGTTTCCAAGGCATGCTTTTGTTAGGTACATATGCAGTCATTTTGGAAGTTCTTCAAGACAATGATAGTACTATGGGCAAGAGATGTATGCTGTTACTGAGGGGTGAATCAAGAAACCTCACCATTTCTGGAAGCACAATACTTAGCAAGAGAGTTCTTTTTTCTTTGTGTTTGGCACTAAAACAGTTCCACAATATCTACAGTGTTTTAAAGCGCCAACCTGTTTGCCTCTGCAAAGCCTTGTGTACTCAAGATGTTGGGGTTTGTTTACTATTTGCAAATAGAAGACAATAAAATCCTTGAAATCTGCTAATTGTACATGTTTAAGAAGTCCTGATAGTTACAGGCATTTCGTTACTTCTACAAGGACCAGCCAGAACTTGATCTGGGGGTATTAGTGAAGCTTGCTGACATTGTAGCTGAATTTTCAGTTGAAGATAAAACTTTATTTGAGGTAGTTCATTTGGAGCCCCAGAATACCTGTGGGTTAGAATTCCCTATGTCTTTGAAGCAAATCCAGATGTGTTCTCAAGAAGTTGTAGAAGAAAGAAGATTTTTTACCAAGGATGTCCATTTGATAACCTTTATAATCTGTCAGTCTGTGTTGGCTAAGTTGGACCTTCTGAGCATAGCAGCTGGAAAACATACATATCTCACAAATATCCAGAATGGTAAGACTAATAACTGTGCATCCATACTCAGTAAATTTGTCACAGACATTGATATGCATTCTTTTAAAAAATATTATTCCCCTGTTTTCCTAAGACGTTTTCTTTGCGGGAGTGGGGTTGGGTCCTAAGAATATCATGTTTTAGTAGTGTTTAGGGGTTTTGTAACTTTTTTTTGGTTTGTGGTTCCTTTTATGGTATTATTTGAAAATGAGGCTACTCTGACAATGACAATCTAACTGATGCTTTCCTCACTATTAGGAAAGGAAAGTCCTCCAACTAGTGATGTCCCTGATGATCCAGATGAACCTATGCCTATACCAGAAGACCTTTCAACTAGTACTGGAGGTCAGCAGAGTTCTAAGAATGACAGAATCTTGGGTAAGATAACAAATACAATCTAATAAGAAATACTAGTAGATGATATAACAAAAATGTTAAATTACTTTTTCACAAGCTGGTAAACAAGCAGGTCCTGTGCCTTTCCATCTTCTTCAGGTGCATAGTGTTTTTTATGCAACCTTTTTTTTGGGAAAGGCATCTTCATCTGCAGAGAACTTATGAAGATCCTACTTTTTATCTTCTTACCATGACTGTTGCTTGATATTCTCCTCAGGAAAGAGAGTTTTCATTCTGTGTAGGAAATGGAATGAAATATGTGGGTCCAAGTCAAAATTATATGAAGTCAGATTTGATAAAAATTCAATAAATGCTCAAGTATTTTTATTATTATTTTTTTATTAATTTGAATGCTATCTTGAATGTTACTGTGTTATCTCCTATTCAGATTTCTTCAGAAATACATATTAGAACACACATAGTATTTATATATTTGAGATTCCAATATTTGATCTTCATTTATCTCTGATTTTGGGAACTTTGGGAAACACTTATCTTTTAGATAAAAATCCACAATTGATGAAGTCTGTTGGGCTGGAATTTTTGTCTAGAGATGATTGAGCAAAATGCTGATTATTCTTAGGGATCCTAGACTCACACCAAGGACTAGCAATGCTGATGACTACTGTATGCACCAGCTCCCACGTGGTGCACTAAAAAGACTAAATATTACCTTAGCATCATGCCTGTTAACTAATAGGGAAAAAAAAGGAAAAGAGGGAAAAAAACTCCCAGAATGCTGTGATAAATGTCCTATGTGATAAAAATAGTTCTGTTAAGGGATGACTATCAAAGTACAAGTATTTACCCACGAATAAAAGTATTGTTCATTATTCTTACATTCTAACATTATTGTAAGAGTAAGGGTCAGGGTGGACGATTTACAGAAAGATTGCAAGTGCCTTTAAATATTAATTGTCTAGGGAAATCCAGTAAAGGATATTAGGTGGAAAGGGAGGCACAGAGGGCAAAATAATTAATTCAGCATAATACAGAAGGATGGTGTCAGCATTAGGAATAGAACCTACTACCAAACTCCAGCACAAGCTAGTAGTGAGTGCATCATCTCATGCATCTTCATTCTATTTATCATTTGATCCTCTCTTATCAAAAATGTGAGCAAAAATTTCAGCTCCTAGATGCATATTGACATACTTTATGAAAAAAATAATATTTAAAAATGCTTTTTAACAATCTGATCACTTATTAAATGATTTATTTTTCAGTCCAATGATCTTTGGACAAAATCTTTCATTAACTGCTTGTCTGTCAACTCAGCAAAACGAGTTGTGTCACCTTTCTACCACAGTAACTAGGCCTACTAAATATTTAAGCCCTGAGTCAAAAATTAATTTTTTAAATTCTTTGTTCAAACCCAAACACGATTTTTCATTGTGTTGAATTTTCTTTGATATACATACAAATATCATGAAGATGCAGCAAAGTTGAACTTCATATTTGCTGACGATGTAGTGATTCTGTCAACAGTTCAGTCATATATCAACACGTACACATATTCTAAATAAGTTCCATCTGTTATTCTCATTACTCAGCAATAAATAAGATTTTCCATGCTCTGACACTAACAATTTTTCTACAGCCACTTTACCCATAGGTCTTTTGTTTATAAGGGCCATATCTTGTAGTGAGACATTTACCATAACCATAGCCAACAGAAACAAAGACAATTCACAATACTCTGCCTTATGGATGATCTGTAGGTATCAATTCCAATGCTTGCAATATTTGTTTTTTCTGTAAAGCTGCATGCACTTTTACCTCTTCTATTGCTCCTTTTTACTAACTTTAAGCTAGCTCTCTGAAAACAGTATACTAAAAAAATTAATTCTTCCTTTTTACAAAGAGGATCTGAATATATGCCCCAGGCATATCAGGAGCCATATGATTGCTGTTCACATTCTGGATCTTCAGTTTAGAAGTAAAATAATACCTTAGGAGTGGTGTTTGGCCTACATGATCCTATAGGTGTATTAGGGGTGAAGAGGGCTGTGTTCCTATGTAGGCGGTGGCCTGGAAGCGTAGACAGGCTTGGTGTTTAGTACAACACTGTCACTGCCATGTCCCTAGATCTGTTCTTCACTGTTAGTCATCACCAAACTTAGGTAGACAAGAATGATCTGAAAAATTAGTTTGACAGATAGACAGGAGAGCATTGTAAAGACCCAGATGTTATCTGTATGTATCTGGCAGGTGGGAGCTAGACTGTGGCCTGTGGTAACCAACAGGCCCTGCATGAACAGATATGGCCAGCCAAGAATTTCTCCCTGTATGACTTTCCTAATGTCCCATCTGTTTCTTTCATCAGAAGGGAATCCCCTAGCATTTGGATTTATTTCAACATAGGGTTTACAATGCATTCCACTTAACCTGTAACACCCTGAGAGATCAGCTGTCCATGCAGCATACATCAAGGAATTTGAGTCAGACATTTAATGAAATCTCTACATTCTGGAGGATATTTTTGTGTACGTAGGGCTATAGAGGTAACAATGGGAATTGCAAGTTTTTTAAATGAAAAGAATAAATATTTACCTCATCCTATTGAAATTAGGTGAGAAGTCTTTTTTTTAGTTTTAATCAATCTGTGAGAGAGAAATGTTCAATTGACAACTCGCATACTCAGATTTGTAGTAACATTTAATGAAAAAAATTTTTATTATTTAACTCCTGGAGTCAAAAGTTTAATTACCTTTTTCATCAATTTAGCATTTCAAATGTCAAAGATTACAGGAAATAAGCATTTTTAGAAAAAAAAATAGACTCTACTCTTCCATGTATTTTTAAAAATCTCTTTTTGTGCTTCTTCCAAACATGTACTGAGTCTTTAATGTGGTGCTACAGAGCTGATAGAAACATTGGAAATATTTCTCCTGCTTTGAGAAGGAAGGCGTTGAAGGCCTCTACTTGCCAGATTTTATTTTATTGCTTGCCTTTAGTTTTTGAATTATCATTTAAAATGACTATAGAGGGTGCAAATTTCATAAAGGAGGTACCAGGGGATCATGAAATGTTTGTTTTGACTTGTGTCCCCAGGCAGGGGGGATGCCCAAAACATGGGTTTCTTCTGACCAATGATCAACAGGTCTGAAAGGATAATTTATGGAAGTAAAGTCATCAACAGTTTCTAGTAATAACCCCAAGTTGCACAGCAAAGCAGAAACATATTGGAAGAGATGTTCTGGTCATCATCAAGACTCTTTATTTCCTTGATGAGCTTACTATAATTTTAATGTTGCAACCCCCAGAAAGCCACTATGTGTTGAGCAGCTTCCTTCTGCATGCTTAATTTCTGCTGCTCTGTCCACTAGATCTTCTTTCTTCCTTGTCCTGTTCTCCGCCCCAAATTTACTTCTCAGGCTGATCTGACACTTATAACATTTTATTATTTTAATCTTGTTCTTTTCACCCATGTGCTCTACAGATAGTTTCTCTAGAAAACACAGTGAACATTTTCAGCAAAGTGTGAGATTTTCACAGCTCTTTAGGGCTCTAGAGACTCTCTTATCATCTCTCCTAAATATCCTTTTGAAATCTTGGTCTGAGTTATTTAGAAATCCACTGGAAGTCCATTCCATTAAGAATTAGTGGCTTTGCAGCCTATTTTGAACAGCCCTATTTCTCATGGTGCCCTATTGGAAATATCATTTGATAATTCTCAGTCTCTGCAAGGTTCAGGTTAAACGTTGTGTGCACCTTTTGTGATTGATCAGTACTGAACATCCTGTATGTGGTAAACAGTTGCAATTTAGGGCTGTTGGTACTCTGAGACTGTATCCTAATTCAAGCCATGTGTGGGAAGTTAATGACTCAGTGATCTGTAGATCAAATCCTACTTCATGGAGAAAGAGCCCTTTGCTGCAGTGGTCTCATTTGTCTGGAAAGGTAGGCCATGCCTTCTTTATCCATAACTGCTCATTCCATAGGTGGCCATCACTGGATAAAAAAAAAAAAAACCTCTTCTAACTTCTCACATTGTTAGTGGCTTCAGAAAGAGGCTGTGGGCTCACCATTTCTGCACAGATAGCTGTCTGGTGCTGCAGATGACCATAGGCTTCTAAGATGGAAGTCAAATGTTACCACTGCAGTCACAGATTACAGTCTGGGCCTGGAACAAATAATGTATAGAGATCTTCTTCTTTTTAAGAGGTGGGGAGGATTCATCTCACAAAATTGGGTTGAAACTGTCAAACAATTGACAGAGTATACCCAAAGTAACCAGTCAGGGTAATCATAGACATCAGTAGAAAACAGACAAGATTCATATGAAATTATAAAGTCTATTTGTTTAAAATAAATAGGTATGAGAAGCAACATTAAAAGGAGGATTTTTTTTTTACATTTTTCTCTCCCAGTGGGTAATACCAAATGATGATGTTCTGTCCCTCTCACAACTCAGTTATTGAAGCAGAAGCCTGTGCACCTGCAGGCTTTGGTGTCTGGCATCGCTGGGACCCTGGCATTGCCTTCACACCCTGGGGTCCTCCCTCTCAGGCATGGGCATTCAGAGGTTGTAACCTGCATGAGGAGCTACTTACTGATGCAGGCTAGTGTCCCCTCTCTGAGAAGCTTTGATACTTTATTTCCTTAAAAGGAGCTCCACCATTTGAGAGCACGGGCACAAGAATTGCTGAGGGGCCACCACAGGCAACCACAACCATTGCCATTACATAAATCTACTGCAACTCACACACAGCTGGGTGGAGACCGAGTAGAAGTGTGGAAAGGCAGCAGACAGAGGGGAAAAGCGAGGAAAGACAAAAGGGGAAGTGCCCCACCCCAGCTTGCAAAATCGGCCCTGTGGTTCAGACAGGTCCAGTGCACTGGTGCCCTGGTAATTCTGCAGGAAATTTGGGCAGGAAAAGGGGCTGAAGAAAAAGGCTGCTGGAGCTATTTGCACACTCCTCCTTGTGGGTGTTCGGTGACTATGAAGGCAGTGTCTTGTGTATGAATAATAAAGTTTG